GAACAAGTTATAAAAAATAATTTAATTCAGTTGATACATGGAGCAAAAAAATCAATAATTATTTCTACTCCTTATTTTTATCCTCCCAAAGATATTGTTGATGCTTTAAAACTTTCCAGTATTTCCGGTGTTCAAATACAAATCCTAGTACCCAAACAAGCAGATTTTTTAACTTTTATTTAACCCTAAACAGACAGTTATTTAGTGAGTTATTGAGCGTGGGTATAAAAATATATGAATATTTTGGTTTTAATCATGAAAAGTTAATGATTGTTGATGATGAAATAAGTTATTGTGGGACATATAACTGAGACTATCGAGCGCTATATTTAAACTTTGAAAGTGCTCTATTAATTCAAGATAAGTGTTTGACCGAACAGTTTAAAAATTCTTAAAACAACAGCTGGATAATAGTTATGAAATTGAAAAAGAAGATATAAATTTACCACAAAAAATAATATCTAATATCCTTATTAATAGTGCAATAAGGCTTTTCAAACCTTTTCTTTAAACAACAATGATTAATGCTCAAAGTTTATTTTTTTTTCTTTGACACCAGATTTCAATCTATCTAAAAAAATTGTTGCAAATTTACAAACAGAGTTATCTCCAATAAAAATAACTACATTTGCTGATGGAGAAACTTTTTGCCAGCCATTAGTTTCTGTAAGGAATAAACAAGTTTTTATTATTCACGATGTTGCTAAAAATGTAAATGAAAGTTTGATGAAATTATTTATAGCTATTGATTCCTTTAAAAAGATCTTCTCCAAAAGAAATCAATATTGTTATTCCTTATTTTGCTTATGCAAGGCAAGATAGAAAAACAGAGGGCAGAACTTCTATCACTGCTAAGTTAATGTCTGATTTAATAACAACAGCAGGCGCAAGTAGGTTGTTATTGGTTGAATTACATTCTGATCAAATTCAAGGTTTTTTTAATATTCCAATTGATCATTTTAAAAACTGTTTACACACTTACTAAATACTTCAAAGAAAACTTATGTTTAAAAAATTTAGTTATTGTTGCTCCTGATTTTGGTGCAATTAAACGTGCAAGAAAAATAGCAGAATTGCTTGATTTGCCTTTGGCAATTATTTATAAAAAAGAGATAAGGCAAATGAATGCGAAAGTGTAGAAATACTCGGAAACGTAAAAGATAAAAATTGTTTAATTATTGATGACATGATTGATACTGGAGGAACAATTATTGGTGCTGCAGAATTATTAAAAAAATGAAGCACAAAAGATTTATATTGCTGCTACACATGGTATTTTTAGTAAAAATGCACTGGAAAGGTTTGAGCAATCATGAAAAAATAAAGTAATTGAAAGTATTTTTGTTACCGACAGTATTAATAATGAAGAATCAGAGTTTTTAAAAATTATCAGTATTTCTGGTTTTTTTATCTGAAATATTGAAGATTTATATCTCCAAAACAGGCTCTATCTCTGATTTATATAATCAATATGTTGAAAATATTTCGAGAATATTAAACAAATAATTTTTGTGCATACTCTTTATGTAATTTCTGTTCCCATTGGAAATATCAAAGAAATAACATTTCTAGCTAAAGAAAAATTAGAAGAAATTACCACTATTTTTGTGAAGATACAAGGGTAACTGAAAAATTATTAGATTTGTTAAATATAACCAATCAAAAACATTAATTTCAACAAATCAATTCAATGAATCCTTTCAATTCAATAAAGTTATTGAATTGTTAGAGTTCAGCGGTGTGCTTTAGTTAGTGATGCCGGTTATCCTGTAATTAGTGATCCTGGATATTTTTAATTAAAAAGTTAAGACAACAAAAATTGCCGGTACAAGTTATCAATGGGCCTTGTGCTTTTATTCATGCTATTGTTGGTTCGGGGTTGATTCTAGAAAGATATTTTGAGCTAACTTCTTAAATAAAAACCTTATAAAAGAAAGTTGGAATTGCAAAAGTTATTAAAGATGAATAAGGAAGCTACTGTTGTTTATTATGAGGCTTCTTTTTTAAAAAAAGGGTTTAGCTTTAATTCAAGAAGTGTTTGGAGATATAAAAGTTGTTGTTTGTAAAGAGTTAAGTAAAAAGTTTGAGACTTTTTACTTTGATCAAATAAGTGTATTATTGGAAAAGGTAAATATTTCAGGCGAGTTTGTAATTATTATTCCTAAAAACGATGACAACAAAGAAGTAAGCAAAGCAGAAGAGTTACTGGATAAGATACATAATTTAGTTATAAATAAGCAACTCCCGATAAAAACCTCTGCAAGGTTTATTCAAATGATGAATTTACAAGTTCTTATTTATATGATGAATATATAAAAAAATATAAATCATAAATTATGGATTTACTGTCTAGTGCTAAATTATTTTGTGGATGAAATAAAGGAAAGAGGATTGCTTAATGATTGCACAAATATAGATAAGTTTTTAATTAACCTGTCTGAAAATAAAAAAAACTTATTTAGGTATAGATCAACTGCAAAATCTTTGCATATAGGTAATTATTTATCTTTAACTTTTTAAAAGGCTTGAAGATTTTGGCTTTAAAACAGTAGTTGTTCTTGGTAATTTCACTGCTGTTATTGGCGATCCATCTTTTAAAACAAATGAGCGACCAATTCTTTCATCTGAAGAAAGAAGTAAATATATTGAATATAGAAAACAAGTAAGAAAAATATGCCCTAAATCAGAAATAATCAAAAACCTATCTTTTTTATAAAGATATATCTTTGATGAACTTATTGCAAGATATTAGCTCCAATATTAATGTGAGTGAGATATTGGCTAAGGATTTTTTTAAAAGACAGATTAAAAACTGGATTAACTATTACTGAGTTTTTATATCCTTTGTTTCAAAGCTATGATTTTTATTATTTATTTTCAAAACATGATGTTTATAACCAAATAGGTGGTAGTGATCAATGAGGAAATATAACTTCAGGCATTGAATTTATAAGAAAGAAAATAAATACAAAAAACCTTGTTACAGGACTTACTTTGCCTTTATTAGTGGATGAAAATAATAAAAAATTTGGTAAAAGTGAAAATAATGCTTATTTTTAGATTCAACAATGACATCACCTTATGCACTATATCAATACATTTTGAATATCGGTGATGATTTGGCATATAAATACACAAAGCTACTCTTTTAAAGGTTTAAACGAGATTAATGAAGTGTATGAAGAATTTAAAAAAGCAGTACAAAAAAGACTTTTACAAAAACATTAGCTTTTGAAATTGTTGAAACTATTCATTCAAAAGACATTGCAATAAAAACACAAAATATTTCTGAACAAATCTTTAACAATAGTTATTTTTTGACCAAATCTGATTTTGAAATGATAGCAAACACTATACCAACAAAGATTTATCAGGAAGAACAAAATGTTGTTCAAGTATTAAAAGATTTAGATTTTGCTAAATCTACAAGCGAAGTAAAAGATTAATTGAAAGTTCAAGTATTAGTTTTTTTGCAAATAAAGTTAGTGATATCAAGCATATTTTTTCTTTTACAGAATCAAATAATGGATTTTTTTAATTAAAAAAGGAAAAAAAGATTTTGGTTTAATCAAAGTATGTAATTAAATATATTCGTATGTTGAAATTAGCGTTAAAAACAATTCTTTCTAAAAATATAAAAGAATTATTTTGGAAAAAAACTTAATGAAGGTCATTTTAAAGCCTATTTTAGAGAAATAAAACTATCTCTTTTAAGTTCGGATGTGAATTTGGCTGTAATTCAAGCATTATTTAGTGACATTAAACAAGAAATATTAGGAAAAAAAAGAGACTTTTTGACAAACACCAACTTGAAGTTGCAATATTTCAAATCATTAAAGCAAAATTAATTCTTGTTTTAGGGAAAGAAATAAGTAAATTAGTTCTTAGGGAAAAGAAAATAAACAAGATTTTATTTATTGGTATGAACAGTAGTGGTAAGACTACTAGTGTAGGTAAACTTTCATATTTCTTAAAGAAAAAAACTAACAGCAAGGTTAAAATGTGAGTTTAGACATTCATAGACCTGGTGCATTTGATCAATTAGAGAAATTATCAAGTGATGTTGGTGTTGAGTTTTTGCTGCAAGAAATAAAGACATTAGCGGTGTAATTCAAGAGGTTTTAAACACTTCATACACTGATGAAACAAATGTGGTTATTTTTGATACAGCTGGTGTTATTCCTGAAGAAGAAGCAAATCTTGAAGAATTAAAAAAACTGTATCTTGAAATTAAACCTACAGAAACAATTTATGTTATGGATGCCATGTCTGGACAAGATGTTTTAGAAAGAATCAAACTTTTTAATGAACACATAACAATTAATTCTTTGATTGTAAGTAAGGCAGATTCAAAAGCTCCTATGGGCGCTGCCTTTTCTGCTAATTATTTATTAAATATTCCAATTAAGTTTTTGGGTGAAGGAGAGAAGGTAGAGCAGTTAATAGAGTTTCATCCAGACAGAATTGTTAATCAAATACTTGGTGAAGGAGATATGTTTTCTTTAGCTGAAAAAATGGAAGAGGTTATTGATAAAAATGTTGCAAAAACTCTTTTCAAAAAATGATGTCTGGAAAATTTGATCTGAATGATCTTATATTGCAAATTAAAGAAATCAAAAAGTTGGGTTCTATGAGTAATATTGCTAAATTTTTCCTAATTCAAATAGATTTAAATTACCTAATTTTGAAGAAATAGAAAAAGAATTGGAACTTTGGGAAGTATTGGTAAATTCAATGACTGCATATGAAAAAAGATATCCAAAATGTTTAAAAAACAACCGAGTAGAAAAGCAAGAGTTGTTAAAGGTTCTGGAAGAAAACCCGATGATTTAAATAAATTATTAAAAAAATGAGAAGAAGGAAGGCAAAATGGAGGTTTTACAGAAAAAAATGGGCAAAGGAATGAATCCATTTAATTTTTTTTAATTTAGGCAATATATTTCAAATACATTGATTCATTTTTTTATAAATAATATAATTTTTCTGTAGACCAAAGTCTTGTAGCAATAGCTCAATTGGACAGAGCACAAACCTTCTAAGTTTGCGGTTGTAGGTTCGAGTCCTACTTGCTACGCCATTTTTAACACTAATAATTCTTAATGCCAAAATATGAAGTAATGCTTGTACTGGATGGTGCAATGTCTGAAGTTGAAACCAGATTATCACTACAAAATATTCAAGATTTATTTTCTTCTTTACCCGAATATGAATTAAATATTGTTTGAAATGATCCTTTGGCTTATCCAATAAAGAAAATAACTGTTGCACATAGATTTATTTTAATTTTGTTTTAACTGACAAAGAAGTATTCAAGACTTTTTGATTCTTTACAAAGATTAAATAAATCAATCTTGAGACATTTAGTAATCAATCTTGAAAATGATTATGGATATAAAGCAAATATGAATCCTAAAAAAATTAAAACCTCTGAAATTAAACAAAAAAAATATAAAAAATATCTTGAAGTTAGAGCTTCAAAACTAGAAAAATTCAACCAACAAAGATAATTACATGCTACCAAAAGGTTATTTAATTGGTAATTTATCTGCAGAACCAATATTAAAAACAACAAACAATTCAAATAACTATTGTTTCTTTTCTGTTTATTGCAAAGAAGTCTATCAAAAACAATCTCAGACTGCTCCTAAATATCATTTTTACAACTGTAAGGTTTGAGGTAAAAGAGCAGAGTTTGTAACCAAGTATTTAAAAAAAAAAAATGACCAAGTTTTATTGAATACACATTAACTACAAGCAGTTATACAAACTCTGAAGGAAGAATAATAAGAACAACAGATTTATTAGTTGACAACATTGAAACTATTTACGGAAGAAATAATAAAAATACTGAAAGTGAAGTAGGTCAAACATTGTTTGAAAAAAACAACGATGAAGAACAAGCAAAACCGTTTAATAATATTCACCAAGAAAATAAAGACAATACAGAAAGTGAACAACTTCCAGAAATTACTTTGGATGATATTTTTTTCTAATGAAAATTAATTTAAAATCTATTTTTATCTATCTATAAATTATGTCTTTTACTTATAACAACAATATGGATGAATCTTTAGAGTTTGCTGAAGAAAAGAGGTTTCTACAAATAATGAAACTGCTCCTGTAGCTTCAGAAGAAGTAAATCCTAAATCTAAATACAGATCTCCAGCTACTTTCAGTGGTTCAAAAAGAAAAGTAAAAAAATCTTGTTTACTTTGTAAAAGAGGTTGTTTAAGTGTTAATTACAAAGACACAGAATTATTAAAAAATTATTTAAAAAATACAACAAAATTCTTACTCACAAAATCTCAGGTAACTGTTTGAAACATCAACATCAAATAGCTAACGCAATTAAAAGAGCTAGATTTGTTGCTTTACTTCCATTTGTTTGTCAGTAGGTTTTTTATATATAAATGATCCAAGACTTAAAAACCTATGATCTTAAGGAATTAAAAATTGCAGAAGAACATGTACTTTCAGCATTTATTTTTTATTACCGGAAATAATAGAGTTAGTAGATATAACAGAGCTTTCTCATCATTTATTCCACACACCTTCAGCAAAAGAAATTTTTAAGATACTTAATACTTGTGAAGTAAAAAACGGTAGATTTGATATCTTATTAATTTTTAATCACCTTAAACAAACTTGCAACAATGAAGAATTGTTGAATACACATTCTCAATATCTTGAAAGATTAAATGCAGATGTACAGTATTACAACATAAAAAGTACATAACTTTACTACAAGAAAATCAAATTAAATCCAAGTTAAATGCTTTGTGTAAAGAAATAATAAATACAAAACTAAGCACCAAACAATTTACAGATTCAATTCAAAAATGAGAGAAAAACTTTTGAAATTACCAATATTGAACATCATGTAAATTACATTACATCAGAAGAAGCTGTTGAAGAATATAGCAAACAATTTGATAACCAAAACAATCCTCGCCAAAAGTTCTTAAGTACCGGTTTTTTGAGATCTAGATTCAAAAATAAAAGGATTTAAACCAGGACAATTTGTAGTTATTGCTTCTAGACCCGGTATAGGTAAAACAACTTTTGCGCTTAATTTAATTTGCAATAACTTGATTTATATAAAGAAAAAAAAAAAGAAAAAAGAATCAGCTATTGGTATTTTTTTCTTTAGAGATGACCAACAAATCTTTAATAGAGAAAAATAATAGCTATTGATACAAAAATAGAGTTAAAAAACTTGCAGAAGTGAATGGAGGGTGGCAGCATACCTAATTTTGAAATTGACTTAATTAACAATTCAAAAAAATGATTTCCAACAGTAATTTATTGTTTTGTGATGAATCAAATATTACTTTAGGAAAAATAGCAGCAACCATAAAGATTTGAGCAAGACAATACAACATCAAAGTTGTTTTTATTGATTATTTACAACTTATAAATCTCCCAAATGAAAAAGATTACAACGTGATGAATCAATATCAAAAAATAGGGATGATCACGAGATATTTAAAGATATTGACAATGGAATTAAATATTTGCATAGTTACACTGGCTCAATTGAATAGAAAATCAGAAGATAGAAAGAGTGGTGACAAATCTCCAATGCTCTCAGATTTGAGGGAGTCAGGATCAATTGAACAAGATTCAGATATTGTTTTATTTTTATATCCTCAACAAAACCAAGAAAATTATGACAATCCAACTAATGAAAGTAATGAATCACAAACAGACATTTCCCTAAAGGTAGGAAAAAATAGACATGGAGGGGTAGGGACAATTAATTTTTCTTTTGAGAAAAAATCAGGAATTTTTTCAATAAAGAAATAATCAAAGTCGTTAATTTGGTGCGTTTAGAGGGAATCGAACCCACACATCGGTTAAGATACTAGCTCCTAAGGCTAGCGCGTCTGCCTGTTCCGCCATAAACGCAATATTATGGTGCCAAATGCAGGATTCAAACGCGACGGTCGATTACAAGTCGACTGCTTTGTCTATTAAGCTAATTTGGCAAAATTGGTGGAGTGTGAGGGACTCGAACCCCGGTCTACTGCTTGTAAGGCAGTTGCTTTCCCTCTAAGCTAACACTCCAATTTGGCGGTCTGTACGGGATTCAAACCCGTGTATGCATGTGTGAAAGACATGTGTGTTTTCGCTTCACCAACAGACCACATGGCGGCTTCAGCAGGATTGAACCTACGACCAACCGGTTAACAGCCGGTTGCTCTACCACTGAGCTATGAAGCCACTTTCAGTCTAATTTTATAAAAAAGAAAATAATATTAACTTTAATATGTCAACATTTACTTCTATATATGCCAGATAAAAAAAATACTGACACATTTAATTGTGTTTTTCAAACTGCTGATGAAAATTATAAAAAGAATTTGCCTTTTTTTCATTTGGCATATTAAGGTTACAACACTTTTGAAATAACAAACATATTAAAAAAGACATTTTTGTTCTTTTTTGGCTATGTGTATGGGTACTGTTAACTTTTTTTTTAATTGAAAAGACAGGAATATATACACGGGAATTAATGCTTTATATCAATCTATTGCAAGATGTATGTATTCTTTTTCTTCTGGTAATCCTTCAGCAAGGCTTATTTATTCTTTGTCTTTTTGAGGGTTAAATATTGTTTTTAATTTAAGTTTTGCAATTTTTGTTTTAAGAAAATAGGTAAACGTTTTACTTATTTAACTCTTTTATTTATATGCGGAATGTCTTTAACAGGTTTGTTTTTGTCCCAAATGCAAAAACAATTAGGTATTGAGAATTTTTATTTGTTTTCAGATCCAAGAAATCAAAATACTGCCTTTACAAGCAAACATATCAATATAACTTTGTGACCCTTTGACCCCACTCATCAAAGTAATGAAATAATTATTGTTTTTTTTTATATGGTTTTTTATTTGCTCTTGCAAATTCATTTATTTCATTAATCATTTATTCATTGGGAGGATCAACTGGTGGATTAGATTGATTAATTTTTATCTTTATAAAACAAAAACATCTGCTACTAGACGATTATTTTTTTATTGTGGTTTAACAGTAACTTTCTTGTCTTATTACATAGGTACATATGTGCCTTATTTAACAACTGGCAAAGCCACAAGATTTAATGTTGCAATATCTAACTTAATATCTCCAACCTTTTTGGCTTCAATTATGGCAATTTTACAAAGAAAACATTATTTTTCTTTTACTATCCAGAATTTAAGTTTGTTCAAGTTACTGTATTTACAAATAAATTTATAGAAATTAGAGATTCATTAGCAAAAATGATTTCCCACACAACTTCACAATTACTGAATCTATTGGTAGTTATTATTTGAGAAAACAAACACAATTGCAATTCATTTTGTTTTTCTACTGAAGTAAAAAAATTAAATGATTGTGTTAGATCAGTTGATGCAAAGTGTTTAATTACTGCAACGCCAGTAAAAACATTGAGCGGGCACATGAAAGTACAAAAAACTTTAAATAAATGTTTTTATATAGAATAAATTAAATTATGCCAGGTTGAGCAATAATCATAATTGTTACAGTTGTTATCATACTTGTTGGTTGTCCTGCTATTGCAATTTATGAACATTATGAACGTAAAAATAAATTATTAGCTAAAACAGGAACAGGAGAAAAAAATAAATCTAAATAAGTTAAATAAAACACTATATTTTATTTTTGTTATTTTTTAATATATAATTATTTTTAATATGCCAACTTGATTAATAGTTTTTATAGCTTGTTCAATAGCATTAGCTGTTTTATCAGGTATTGGGTTAATTTGAGAAAAAAATAAATCTTCTAAAAAATAAGAATAAATATTTTTATTTTAAATTTAAAGCTTGTAAAGGGTAATATATAAACAATTTAATTGTTTTGTAATTATTTTTTCTTGTTTTATTTATATTAATGATATTTATCTGAAAATCTGCAATCGCATTAATAACTACTTCTGCAGTTGTTGGTGGTGCTACATTTGGTCTTATGAACAAAATCGATAATGTTAAGGTGTCAGTTGATCCAGACATAGAGAAAAAGTGTTGCTGAAAAAACCAACAACTAAAAGATGCTCTTAAAAAATTACAAGATGAACTTGTTGAAGTTAAAGCAACATTATTTCAAAAATCGTCAATAGTAACTACTAAAAATACAGAAAAAACCAACCTTGAAAACAATACAACGGAATTAACTAAACAAATTAATGCACTAATAAGCAAAATAGAAGCAATTGAAAAGGAAATCAACACATCAAAAACAAATGAAACAGTGCCTAAAGAAGGAATTGAATCTAAAGATGTCAAATCCATACCTACAGAAGATGAAATAAAAAGAGTTAAAAACTTGTATAGAAAAACTTGAAGCCAAAACTGAAAGCTTGTCATCAGATGCTGAAACAAAAAAGCGTCTATAACAACAGCTAAAACAGCTTTAAAAACTAAACAAGATGAGTTAATTGAAAAAATAAAAAAAAACACAAGAAGAAGGAACGGCAAAACTAAAGAAGAACAACAAAAACAAGAGGAGGAAAAAGCAAAGCTTCAAGAGTTTGCTGTTGAAACATTAACTGAAAATGGTGATACAGCAACATCAGCAACAAAACCAAACGAAGAGTTGCCAACAATACCACCAGCAAACCCATCAGCTCCAAATCCAGTTTCAGAACCTAAACCAACAACAACTCAAGAACAATCACAACCGATTGAAACAGCAGTATTAAAGACAAATGAAGGCGAAACATTAGAGTCCAAAAAGAAGACATTACTCAACAACCTAAATTTGAAACCGAAACAAAAGCTGTTGCAGATGCACAAAGCAGCTATAAGACAGCTGAAAAAGCATTAACAGATCATAAAAAGTCATTAGAAGATAAAAAACGAACTTGGTGATAAAGAAACTTTAAAAAAGAATCAGAGATTAAACAAAAAGCTGAAGAAGATGCAATTAAAGAAAATGAGCGAAAAACAGCAGAACTTAATACTGAAAAAACAAGCAGAAACCGAGAAATCAAAATTAGAAGAACTACAAGCAAGCCAAACAACAGAAAACAATGCTAAAAAACAACAATCACAGCAGATATTAAAAAACTAGAAGAAGAAATTGCTGTTTTAAATCAACAAGTCAAAACATTAGAAACACAAATTCTGACTGTAGGTAAATTAATTAAATAAACAAATGATTCTTTTTTGAAAGTCTGTAACAGTGTTTTTAGGTTTTTCAGCTGTAGCTAGTTCTGCAGTTTATGGTGTCATGACTGTTTCTGCCGATGTTAAAGCTGTTGTGGATCCAGATATAGAGAAAAAAAGTGTTGCTGCAAAAAAACAACAAAAACAAAATGAAATTAAACAATTACAAAAACAACTTGCTGAAGTTAAAAGCAACATTGTTTCAAAAATCTGCGACAATAATTGCCAAAAATCAAGAAAAAACAAAACTTGAGAAAAATACAACAGAATTAAATAGTTCCATTGATGCTTTAAACGCAAAGATTACTGAAATAACAAACAAAATAACAGAACTTGAAGAAAAGAACAATGGTACAAAAACAAACATATCAACACACAATTCCAAGATTGAATCTGAAGATCTTGAAGCTGCACCTACTGAATCAGACATAACAACTCTGGATCAATGTATTAAAAATCTTGAAGGTAAAACTACAAGTTTGACATCAGAAGTTAGCACAAAAACGCAGCTGTAACACAAGCAAAAAGAAGCTCTTAAAAACAAACAAACCGAGCTACTTGAAAAAAATAAAAACTAGAAGAAGAAGAAAAAAGAAACAAGTTGCGCAAGAAACAGCTGAAAAAATAAATGTTGAAACATTAGTTGAAGAGGGCAATATAACAAATGTACCAAAACTAGAAACTGAAGAATCCACATCAACAAAATCAGATGTATCTTCAACAGATCCACAATCGAAACTGACAGCAACAGTTCCAATACCGTGCAAAATCCAGAATTAACACAAGCACCATCAGAAGGAGAGCTAACTGAAAAACCAAAATCAGAAGAAGGCTTGATTGTTGACCAACCTAAATTTGAAAGTGAAACACAAGCTATTGAAACAGCTGAAGCTAGTTACACAACTGCTAAAAAACATTGGCAAATCATCTCAAAACAATAGAAGACAAAAACGTGAACTCGTAAATAAAAAACTCTAAAAACAGAAGCAGAAATTAAACAAAAAGCTAAAGAAGAAACAATGAAAGAAAATCAACAAAAAAGAAGAACTTGAGGCTCAAAAAAAAAGAAATAAACTCAGAAAAACAAAAGCAAACCGAACTTAAAACAAGCCAAACAGAAGAAAATACTGCAAAAAAAGCAAAAATTGAATCAGAAATTAAAAAACTAGAAGAAGAAATTGTTGCTTTAAAAAATCAAATTAAAACACTAGAAGAACAAATTTTGTCTGTGACTAAATTAATTAAATAATTCAATGATCCTTTTTGAAAGTCTATAACAGCGTTTTTAGGATTTTCAGCTGTAGCGACTTCGGGAGTTTATGGTGTAATGACTGTTTCTGAAACGATTAAAAATACAGTTGATCCAGACATAAAGCAAAAAAACATTGTCGCCAGACAACAACAACAAAAAGAAAAATTAAAAGTTTAAAACAAGAACTTTCTCAAACTGAAAATACATTATTTAACAAATCTTTAATAGAGATTGGCAAAAAAGAAGAAAAGTTAAGTCTTGATAATGAAATAACAAAATTAAATAGTTCCATCACTGCTTTGGGCGCCAAAATTACTGAAATAACAAAAAAAAATAACAGCAATTATAAAAGAAATAACTCAAGAAACAACAACCACATCCAAAAATTCTGACGCCGAATCTTTAGTAACTGAAATAACAGAACTCGAAAAATGTATCGAAGAGCTTGAAGCAAAAACTGAATCTTTAAAAACAGAACTCAAAACTAAAAAAACAGCTTGAGATAATGCAAAAAAGACACTTCAAGATAAGCAAAAAGCATTAATTGAAAAAAATAATACAAAAGCAAAAGAAGGAAAAGCAAAATTAGAGGCACAAGTAAAAGAAGAGAAAGAAAGAAAGGAAAAAGAAGCTAAAGAAATGAGTGTTGAAACATTGGTCAATAATGTTGATGCAAGCAAATCAGTGTCAACAGATGATATAGAAACACCAAAACCAACATTGCCCGATTTATCATCTCAACCAACAGAAGACAACACACAAATCCCCCGACGCAAAATACAGAACTAACAACAGAAGCTGTT